ACATGGAAACACATCCTTTGTGAATTTTTAGAATTTTGTCAGCCCCTGTTCAAGTTGTTTTTAGATATGTGCATGCTTGTATGTAGATAGCACAAGCTGTACTGATATTAATTAAGCAATCTAGTATGTTTCCCTAGATGCTTTTACATATGACAATGTTGTAAGTTGGCGTCTAATTCATATTTATATCCAACAGGTATCCAGTAGAACATGGCATTGTCACTTCCTGGCCAGACATGGAGAAAATCTGGAAGCATACTTATGAGAATGAACTGAGATTAAACTCCGGCACAAGGCCCGCACTGATCACCGAGGCACCACTTAACCCATTATCCAATCGCGAACAAATGACAAGGTTGCTCTTTGAAAAATTTGAAGTTCCAGCCCTCTACGTGGCCATTCAGGCTGTGCTGGCCCTCTACGCCGCGGGTCTCACGACAGGCTGCGTGATGGACTCTGGGGATGGGGTCACACATACTGTCCCGATCTTTGAAGGCTACTGCTTGCCTCATGCGGTTCTCCGACTTGACCTGGCAGGCCGGGACCTTACAGATTATTTAATGAGAATCCTGAGAGAAAGTGGCATTGCCTTAGTGAGCACAGCGGAAAGGGAAATTGTGAGAATCATCAAGGAGGCCTTGTGTTACGTGTGCTTAAACCCCGAAGAAGAAATGGCTAAACAACCGACTGCAATAGAGAAGACATGGAAATTGCCTGATGGTCAGATTATTAAAATCCACAATCAATTGTTCCGCTGCCCAGAGACCCTCTTCCGCCCATCTAACATTGGCATGGAAGCGCCAGGAATCGATAAGCTCTTATTCAACACCATCATGAAATGTGACATTGACTTAAGGACCACTCTGTACGCCAACATCCTCCTTTCTGGCGGCTCCAGTCTCTTTCCTGGGATTTCAGATCGCTTGACTAAGGAGCTGATGCGCATGGCTCCCAAAGACACCGAAGTCCTGGTCCAAGCCCCCCCTGACAGGAAGGTCTCTGTCTGGATGGGAGGATCCATTCTTGCTTCCCTCTCAGCCTTTCAGGAGATGTGGATTTCCAAGGAAGAATACGCCGAGGTTGGGCCTAACATAGTACACAGGAAGTGCTTCTAGATTCCTGTTGCATGGAAACATTTTTATTTAAAATGCTGTGGGAAGAACGTCATGGAACACTTGGTGAGATTTATCGCCTCACCTTTTTGAAAGACAAATAAAGGTAACAATTCCACACCTGCTTTCCTAGGTTACATTTCTGTAAATATCCTATAACACAGTGATTCACTTAACAACTGAGGCGAGAAAGGAAGGTTGTAAAATGGGGCAAAACTCACTTAAATGTATCGCTTAGCAACATAAACTTAGGCCCAGTTGTGGTCGTATGTTAAAGATTACCTGTAATTAATTCATAGAGAGCAATACTCTAAAGTGCTATGACTCTATTGCCCTTGCTGGTTTAGATTAAAGCTGAAACGATATAACAGATAAATAATGTAAAATAGTGTAGAAATGGAGGAACCAGTCTTGTTTCCACTGCTTTCCACATGTAGGATCACCCAGCCCTCTCCCAGAAAAATGAAATATCCTAGGAAATATTGAAAAGGCAGAATATTTCTCTGGATGTGAAAAGAAAGAAACATGTTTTAGAAGACAGAATAGCTGCCTGCAGCTTCCTACCCATCCCCACTTTGTCAATGGGCCATTAAAACCTGAAACTTTACATAATAAAGAGTTTTCCCCTTCAGCTCCAGAGTGATGGGATTAAGGCATGATAATATTGGCCCTTTACCCATCTCACCACAAGGACACATGGGAAGAAGCAAGGCTCAACCAAACTTGGATTCAAAACGCAGCCTAGAGAGTTGCCCCTGCATTACCCCATGGGAGTCTGACAACC